TTTTACATGGATTTACAATGTACAATATACGAGCAGCTTCAGTAGCATTACAATTTCTTAGTTATTGTCACTATCAAATCGAGTGCATTCAATATTTTCCAAATGATTCACCAGCCATCATGCTGAACAAAATCTTACAAGAAATAGATTCGAATAAGCAGAAATGTACTAACACATTTTTGACGAAATATAATCTTACATCGAGCATCATTAAGAAGACTTTTTTTAGAATGTTTCAATCTGCAGGATATCATTATGATCGAACTGTGATTCCAGCTGTAATATTTCGACTCAATCGTTGTAATCAAGAAGATGTAGCCACTTTAGATTTCTTTTTTAATGCTCAAGGTTTATCACCTACTTCTTCGAATGAAACATCGCCGAGTGATGCCAATGGATTAGTACTCGATTCTGATGCTCTATTTAATAACATAGCCTTTTCTGAACTTTGGCTAGAATTCAATCAAAGTGAAGTTGATCAACAGACATTAAATACTTGGCAGAATGCGACAATAATTGCTCCAGATCTTCGTTCTGATTTTGTTGCATTAAGACAAGCATGGCCAAAATATCCCTTAGATGAATATCGTTATCATCTAGCTAATTCATCAGTACTCATGATTGCTGGTCAATTGGATGGTGCAACACCCCTCGATTTCGCTTCTCATTTAGCGTCAATCACGGGAAAAATACGAACATTGTATTCGATTCCATTAAGTGGACATATTATTTAATCGTTTATAACTGCTACAGGATACACTTGTCCACTTCATTTGATTCTTTCGTGGGCATTTCCAGCTCTATTTCCAAGTGAATGGAATGATCCTGCATGTATTCGAGATCTACCAACAACGATTGATTTTGTCGGCGCAACTGTAATGGGACAGATGAGTTCAATGAAATTGTTGAACGTTAGTCTACCATTTGGAAGTACAAACACCTCTCAACCAGGAAACATAGCTCCTTCTCATGACTCAGCTTCGTTATTTATTTTCAGTTTATGTTTGACATATATCAGTCGATTCTTCTTGGGCATCTAGTAGCATTTTTGCTAACCGGACATCTTCGAATCTTTTTTTTTACAGATGTTTACTTAATAAAAGTGTGTGCTTTTCGAAGGTTTCAATATATTTTTACTCATCAAATACTCATTACTCATTAATTCATTCTTTTTAACTGAATTTTAGTCTATCGATAATAAAACTTTTTGAAAACAATCTCTAATTGACATTTACTTTTTCAAATTGGTATTCCAAACACTTTGTTTCATCTTTGAGATGAAATTTAACAAGAGGGGATTTGAAATATATATACCGCTTCTTCATTAACGGTACAAGTCGATTGAACAAGATCGAAACTTTTGTTCAAATTGAATGAAAAACTATTTACAATATGTAGCAGATAATAGAAAAATTATCGTTTAGTATTTTATTTACTAAACATTCTTTTAGTGTAAATAAGGGATGAGGATAAGAAGGAGAATGATGGTAGGAGCACGAATGATGTGATGATGCAGGCGAGGACAATATCTATATCTTATTTCCGTACATTTTTATTTTTATTTTTATCGATAAGGGCTCTAACAGAGTGCTCGTTGGAGAGCAAGTACCCACAGGTGTGGGTTACAAGAAGAACTACATCCAATTTAAAAAAGTTTTACTTTGTAGTTTGTAGGGCTTTTCACGTTGCATCTTCTAGTATATTTTGCTTTTCTTTTGAGAAAGCATACCAGGGGATGGAAAGATGAAATAACAAAAAATCAATTCGTTCGAGGATGTGGATGTTAATAATATGCTCACACCCACACCCACACCCTTAGCATTCTCCATCTCGAAGTATTTTATATAGGAAATTGCACATTACAAGTATTGCCCATTGCCGAGTTATTTCTAGAAACTCTACAAATCTACGATTTATTGAAATGATTAAGAAAAAATCCTGAAAATGGATTATTTTTTGCCAATATTCCAATGCCAATTGGAAAAGTCAAAAACAAGATTTGACAAATCAATTTCTGGAAGAACGAGACCAGTAAAATTCCAATTAAATGATGGTAACCATTCGAATGAGCAGGCTTCACATCGAAATGGACAACCACATGGATCTTCTGGCGTCATTGTTGAACCACATATACAGATCGCTATATCATCCAAACACATTCGATTTTCACATGGAGTTTCCTCAATTTGACGGTCAATTGGAATAGTACCAACGATCAATATCAGTAGAAAAGCAATACTAAGTATACTTAGTAGTTCCTTCATCATAGAATCGAAGAAATGAATGAAACTAAATAATCGATCAGCCGTTTTATTTTGATCAAACAGTTGCTTTTCATTCGCACCCCTAAAACACAAATATCAATAATAATATCTTCATGAAAACAAAAAAATCAGTACTATAGGACGCTCTTATTGGTATTTTTAACATTCTAATTTAATCGAGAAAACGTCAGAAGAAACGAATGAGTAAAAGAAAAGTCTCTTTCAGTTTGATGATCGATTAAGTGAATGTGACCTAAAGAATGTTCATCATTGAGCTACTACATGATATTCTTCTATCAATCGATGGATTAACAATCACAAAGGACTATTTAGAGGGTGTGGGTGTGAGTGTAGGTAAAGAGAAGATCACACGCATCCACACTCACACTCACACCCACATCTGGCAACCTTGGTTATGATGATAAGAGTGGTCGTTTAGTAATGGTAATAATTGATCTGTTGATTTGATGAATTTGTACATATTATTAAACTACTGGGAAATTCCACTAACAAGGAAACGTTCTCTGATGTACATTCGCTTTTGAGCCGAGACTTAAAGCACCTTGTAGACTTGAGTGAACTATGCTTACTCTAAAAAAAGTTCGTATCCATAGCGTGTTTCTGGAGAGATATCGAGTGTTTAGTAAATTTTTTCTATAATATCTCACTTTTGCGGCAAAGCTATATTTTTAAGTTTTGACCTAAAACTTTGTCTACATAAAGCCCTCAGCTAGGCTAGCTTGTATAAAAAATTTCAAAAGTTTTGAACAAAGCCTGTCCGAGATATGAAACTATTTAAAAAAACGCATACTATATATGCTATTTAATTAAAAATGGTCTACACTTTGGTAGTTTCATATCTCGGAGCGGCTTTATCCAAAACTTCTGAATTTTTTTATACAGGCTAGTCTAGCCGAGGTCTTTTTATGTGAACAAAGTTTCAGGTCAAAACTCAAAAATATAGCTTTGCTGCAAAAGTGGGATATTATAGAAAAAATTCACTAAAAACTCGATATTTCTCCAGGAACACGTTATGGACACGAACTTTTTTCAGGATAATCATAGTTCACTAAGGCCTACAAGGTGCACCAAGTCTCAGCTCAAAAGCGAATGTACACGAAAGAACTTTCCTTTTTGAGACGAAAAACAGTAGTCGTTAAAAGGAATGAATGGCAGATGAGAGATGGAAGGCAAGAAATTGTGAGAAAGAATGATGATTAAAAAGAACAACATATACGAAAAAAAAAATCGTTCAAAGACAAATGAATTATATAAGAAGAAGAAAAATTCCAGATTTAGCAATAAATAAACAAAGAAAGAACAATAAAATCAAGAAAGTCTTTTATGGAGTTGATGGTTCCACTCCACAGGGAAAATTACTCTTCAAAGAGTAGATTTAACATCCTCTGATGAATTGTATACAGTAAAGTTTTTTGATGAATATTAATTCTTGACTATGGTTGTAACTACTTGGAGATTTATATAGTTGGATATTTGGGATAAAAAGCACTTTATTAGTTTTTTATTAAATCAAAACTCTTAACTGTTTTGTTTCAATTCGATCGAAATCGTCACAGCGCCACGTGTAATATTATTATATTTTACTTAGTGAGTCATCTAGAGACCTGCGGAGTACTCCGAAACCCGATTTCAACTCCGACTCCGTCGGAGTCGGAGTCGGAGCCGGAGTCAGCAAAAAGAAATTTTTCGGAGTCGGAGTCGGAGTCGGGTTTTCTGAAAAAAATTTTCGGAGTCAAAGTCCTGACCATGTTTGAATAACTTTTGCTGTTTCAAATAAGAGCATCTTTATTCTTCAGCTTAACAAACAAAAAAAAGAAAGATAACAGTTGCTACATATATTAAGAACGAGTTTCGAGGAAAAACCTCACATTGATAATCTTTTGGCTGTATCGTTCAAAAGACTGGCTACGTAAAAGCATAATGTCATCAATGAAAATATATTGCAATTCCATTAGAAGTACTACAATTCTCTTGATCACCAATTTTTGATTCCTTGAACATAGTACATATCGAAAACTTGTCAGTGATTGTTTTTTATTTCCACTGAACCACAAATGTACAAGAAATTTCAAATTAATCTATTAAAGATTCTTAGATATTCCTTCACTCGTTTGTTCCTTTATCGTTCAGGACTACATTACTATTACTGGTAGTAAGTAATAGCATATAAGGTTATTAATTATTATATGTAATTAGAAATAATCTGCGAAAGTAACAGAGGGAAGAAAGTAAAAATGTTATAAAGTAGTATAGTATTAAAACTAGTAACTCATAGAAGCAATATTGTTATTAGTTTATTACTAGCAATAAAGTATATAAAATTATTACCAGTTACCCAGTAATAGTATAAAAAAATAATACAGTAAAACCTCTAGTAGTGAGCGCCTCTCTACAGTGAAAACCTCGTTATTATTAGTGTTTTTCACGAGTCCGGAAAGGCAATTTTTGCTGAAAATGGACCTTCCGAAGGCGACCATCTGATTATAAGGAACATTTTTCAATAGTCTCGATCGTGCTCACTTTAGAGAGACTTCATGGTAGTAATGTAGCAACCTTATTATTGATTTCCGCATGTTGTAAATTAAACAATAAAACATATTTGAGATTTCCTTTTATTGATAAAAAAAATTCGGAGTTTCTCGGAGTTTTTCGGAGTTGGAATCGGAGTCAAAAAATAAAAATTTCCGGAGTCGGAGTCGGAGTCAGAGTTGTAAAGAAGAAATTTTTCGGAGTCGGAGTCGGGTTTCGGAATAAAAAAACCTGACTCCGCAGGTCCCTAGAGTCATCTCGCCACGTTGTATTATGATACTGCAGATATTGTGCAATTACCGTAATCATTGGAAAGAAGTATAAAAGGACATGTTGTTTCATTACGTTGTTTCATTCTTTTCTCACGCATATTAATAACACATAAAAACAAAATTATGTTACCGACTTCTGCAATTCCGACGTCATCGAATACAGTGGATGATTGTTCGATTTGTCTCAATGTTCTTGCACCCGGCTTGCCACTGTTAACATTGTCTTGTAATCATAAATATCATTTGAATTGTCTGGCATCAAATGTTCAAGCACAGAACAAAGAATGTCCTTTGTGCCGAGCTCCAATTGACGCATCAATTGTTCAACTACTAACAAGCCGTATACAGCCACCAATACAGCCACACATAACGCCTCTTCCTATCCCGTTTCCTAGTCAGATACGTGCGGCTTACGTAAGTCATTTCTACACAGAAATCTATTTCAAAAGTATATAATAACCCAATTGTGATAATATTTTATAGAATATTCCTTCTGTCGAAGATCCAGTTGACGAAGCTGCTGTACGAGCTCTTTTCAATCATCTTGCTTCTGCTCGACAAGCTGCTATTGCTTCAGCAAACACAGCGAGTAATCTTCCATTGATCACCGTTTCAATAACATTGGAATATGGCGCCCAAATATCGCATGAAGAATCAAATATTTACGGTCTTGTCACTCTTCAAGCATCTTCTGCTATTCTTCCATCCAACAATGAATCCTTAGCATTACCTCATGCTCCCATCGATCTTGTTTGTGTCGTTGATCAAAGTGGATCAATGTCGGGAGAAAAAATGAGACTATTAAAGCAAACTTTAGTTTATATTGTTGAACAATTGAATGATCTTGATCGACTAGCTATTATTTCATTTGATACACAAGCTTATGATCGTTCACATGGACTTAAACGAATGAATCAACAAAAGTAAGAAAATTGTTTTATACAAATAAATCAATATTTAAGTACATTTTAGTCAACAAATCTTAACAAGAACAATCAATTATGATATACCTGCAGGAGGCGGTACGTATATAGGATGTGGACTGGAAATGGGTATCAATCTATTCACTAGTCGTCGGACAAAAAATTCACTGGGTGCTTTGCTCTTACTTACCGATGGTCAAGATAATCTACAACATGATTATTCACAATTGATGGAAACATTACCCGAAGGTGTTCTGTGTCACACTTTCGGTTACGGACCGGATCATACGGCATCATTACTTGTGCAACTAGCTGAGAAAGGCAATGGAGGTACTTTCACTTATATAGTAAGTTTTATCATAATTTAAGTTTGTAAAGATAATTCTTTCATAAATAGGATCAAGTACAAGCAGTTGGTTCTGCCTTTGCCATGACTTTAGGTGGTTTGTTTAGTTGTATTGCACAACAACTTCGAGTCAATATTGAATTCAATGGAGAATATAGAATTAGTCATGTTCATTCGAAACATGAACATGAACCTAAAAAATTACCTTCAAATAAAATTACGTTTAAATTGAATGATCTGAATGCCGACGAAAAACGAAATCTTGTTTTTCAATTACATGTACCCAAGGTGAATAACAATCAACAGGTCGAAATGGATAATCAACAAATCATATCACAAAATGAACAAACATTCTTTGATCAATCGACTATTGGTAAGCATAAATTCTTATCATTGAACGACTGAATGCATACATCATTATTTGTTAGGTCAAGTAATAGTTACCTATGTAGAACCAAACAGTAATCAGACAATAACTACCAATCCTGTTTCCTTTCAATTAATTCGAATGGACCAACCATCTGCTGATCTACTTCAAGTCAATTACACACTTGATATCCAACGAAATCGAGTAGAAACTGCTCGTGAAATCAAACGAGCAATGGATGAGAATGATTATCAGCGATCACTTGCCATTCTAAAAGCTCAAGTTGAAAAGATCAAAGCTAGTGTATCCGCTCAAGATCCATTCTGTCAATTATTAGTAAAAGATCTTGAATATCGCTATCCATCAGAACGTGACTATCGCTCATCACATCAGAATGCTTACATGCAACATTCGTCCGAACGAGGCACATACGCACCGACGACCAATGCCAGTGCTGCGCAGTATCTCAGTTATCCACAGCAGCAACAGGCCACTCACTTTCAGCAAAATCAGCTACCACCCATGTACATCCAGCAGCAGATGCCACCTCCTTATGTTCAGCAACAACTACCGCCTCCTTATGCTCAGCAATAACAATCATTCCATTATAACAACCAATCAATGTCCCCGCCCACTTATATTCAACAACAGTTACCTTCTTACGTTCAGCAACAGCAACAACAACCTTCTGGCTCCTTCCAGTCAAAATTTACTTGAAGATAATTGACCGTATTCCAGCTAATCCAGACATTTTAATAATTTTGTTTGTTTAAATAAATTGTATAAAAGTTAATTGTCGATTTATATTGATTTCAAGTATTTTTTATTTTTATTTTGTTTTTATTATTTTTTAATTTGTGATATTTCGCCATTTATATCTATCCAAACGTTATCGTCAGATTAGATGTTATAGGAAAAGAAAGAATTGAATAAATATAGAATAAAATCAAATAAAGACGTGCTTTTTCTTTTGTATTTTCTCATATTATTGTTCAATGGATTTGATCTACAATTTATATATAACTGAATAAATTAGCATTATATCATAATACTATAATTTAAATGATGCTTTTTAACTTAATAACAATAATAATCATGTCATGCCAAAGAAACATGAGAAAATAAAAAAAAGGAAAAGACATTTTTATTTGATTTTATTCTTTATTTATTCATTTCTTTATTTTCTTATACCATCTATTATCCATTTGAAAATTAGAGAGATTGATAAGGAGAATTTTTTATCAAAAAATAAGAAAAAAAGTCTTTTTTTTTGTGGAAAATTACCCAAAGGCACGTTTTAAAATGCTTATAAATCGTGATTGGCTAAAGCTACCAACGTCGAACTAGCATTGCGTTATGGAACACGACTATTTACATAAGGAGAAGCAATATCACACATATTCAAGAGCAATTTGATAGCAATTAAAATTTTGTTGTTAATTACTCTTATAATTCAAAAAATGTTATCTTAGACTTCGTAGAATTTGCTTTTTAATATGCGTGATATTGTTTTTTCTTATGTAAATGGTCCCGCTCCATCCAATCAAAACCAAAAAAAGCCGAACTATGGCAACTCATATTTTTAATTAGTTGGTTTGACAGTGAGAGCATTCATTTGATCCAACTATGATCTATCTTCTTAGCTTACAGTATACGGTCTTTTATTCTAAGCGATATAATGGTTGTGTTGTCTTTCTTTACTATGAAATACTTTTGAAAACAAAGTATGAATCGATAAACAAAAAAAAAAGTGAAGTCTTTTGTGCAAGTATGTCAACATGATAGTCCTTGGTTTACAAAAGTTTTTCATTAGGCAAATCTTCAAATGAAATGGCCAATTGCTCTTTTGCTCCTCCCTTGGCTACGCCGCTGTCTTAGTCGCCATTCAATCAAGACCGCTTTGAACGATTGAATAACCATCTCTATTCCGGTCATTTCGACTCGTGAGGACGTTTTTTGTTAAGTGCTTTTTATTTATGTTTTTTCATTACTGAAGGCCAAAGAAAAAGAATGCATATATATATTTACAATAACATGGCAAAAGAAAATAAATGAAACAGTTGGTAATTAGGTAAATCATTCACAAATAATTGAATAATATTTTTTTCTCTCTGACTTTTAGCAATACATTCTGTCGACATCGCAAGTCTCAGGAGAAATCAATGTTCTTTTGCTTTTCTAAATGTGTAATTATCGAAAACTGATTGTCGTTCTTCTCTGTCGCCAAATATTGATTCTCTTTTCTTTTAAACAAAATAGAACAAAAAAAGAATTCAGGTCGATCAAATCAAGACATTTTGAAAATTACTGTACTGTTCTTTTGTCTCTAATAGTTATGTCGATAACATTTTTACACTTTTTATTTTGCTGTTTCGTTCTTTGTCTATTTTTGTTCGTGTTTGTATATAGATACGTTTTTTTTTCTATCGATACATATTTCTATTCATCATGGGCAATCGATTTGTTGCTAAAAATGCCAATTCGAATGCGCTGACTGACGAAGGTTTGTTCATGGAACAAATATTTTTCATTATGGATTGATCTATTAATTGATTTGTTGTGATTCTAGAAATTGCTGACTTGCAAAAGATTTCCAATCTCAGTTTTGATGGTAAGCAGAAAGAGAATTTGTTTTCTATTCATATAAAATTGTTCGCTCTTTTGTAGATATCAAGAATAATTACAAGGTAATCATAGATTATGTGTGATTTGAACTATCATCTTCTATTTTTGCTCGAATGTGCTTTAGGCTTTCTTGGAAGATAACCCATCAGGTAGAATGGACAAAAAACGATTTATTCACTGGTACGATCTACTAAAGCCTGATTTCGATATTAAAGATGAAGTAGCTTGCGAGTATGTTCAGGTGCTCGTCCGATGATTTGAAACTTTCTTTCTATATATTTAGAAATGCATTTGCTGCATTCGATAAAAATAAAGATGGAACAATTGACTTCAAAGAATTTACTACGGCATTGGCTTTCCTCAGACCAAATACGGTAGAGGCACATGTCGATCTGTTTTTTCAAATGTTAGTTCGATTGAGTGCTGTAGTTTGAGCACAATCTAATATTTCTCTTTTATTGAATAGGTATGATGTATCTGGTGATGGCTGTTTGGATTGTCAGGAACTAATAGATGCCTTCGAATCTATTGTAAGTTAATCTGAATATTTCTTTCGAGTAGAATTCAATGAGTGCATAAATAATCATAATTGATTATTTTAGATCTATTTATTGGCATTGGGGAAAAAAACAACTCCCAAAAGTGCGAAACAGATGGCTTCAGAAGTATTTGTCATGTTTGGTCTGAATGAGGACGCAAAAATAACGAAGGAACAATTTATCGAAGGGTAGATGGAATAATTTCTTTTCTTTTTCATATAATTTTATTTATTTCAGATGTAAAAAAAATCCTACTCTTCGTGAGATGTGCCTCATTTGAACATGAACAATATTGTCAATGAATAATCATTTTTATGTACTCCTTATATTTTTTTATTTACGTAAACTTAAGTGTTTGAATTAGAGACAATAAATTGAATTTTCAGTAGGATCTAAAGATATGTGAAATCGCTTTCGATTGATCTCGATTTTGATGAACATTTGTTCCGTGTTTTTGAGCAAGCAGTGATTTTTGATGTATTGTGACAAAGCTAGTCTAAAACTGCAAGACTTAATTCACTAATTGAACTTCAATCTACAGATGCTAATTAGAAATATTTGTATTTGTCAAAGATGAACATGTTCAGAATGAATGATAACAACTTTCTTCTGCGGAATTGTTCGCTATGTTTAGGGTAGTTTCAGACGGAAAATCGATTGTAAGAAATACTGTAGAATAAAAACATTGAATGTTACTTAATCATCACATGATGAGTGTGGAAGTAAATACATTTTTACTAGGTTTCGTTCAAGACAATTCTTTTAATTTTTATATGTTAATAAAAAGGTGATATCATAGTCTATATCGATGCTTGAAATTTAAACGAGAGTTGATGAAATAATTATTGTTGTATCGCAAAAAGTTAGATGGATACTTCATCAATGCAAAGAATGATCAAAATTTACATTTACATAAAAACATGTTTTAAGGCAAAAATGGAACTAGGAGAGATAATGTTTTATTATCTCATCTAGCCAAACAGTGCAGCATATTGTAATAATAAAACCTGTATTAAGTTCTCAATCAATTTAAATTTTAGATAAAAGTTATTTATAGCTAATACAAATTGGTGACAAATACAAGCAAAATAAAAATCATATTTAGTTATTTCTGGCACCGATGTAATCAAAAATCATATGTCAATACGATAAATAAGAACATAATTACTTTGACGAATAGTTTTTGACAATCGTTTAAAGTGAAACCTGACTCAAGTTTTTCCTGAAAAAACACACCAAATCATGAGTTTAATTATGAAAATAGTAAAGTCTTACATATTCTTGACTATCTTTAACTGTATAATATCACTGAGCTATGTTACATTGGTAATCATGTAAAAACCTCTCAACGCTTAATTCAGTGAAGCATCATTTGTTCTACTATACATCTTTTAGAGAACACTGCTTGTAACTATTGTAAAATGCACACAGTCCACGGAGCTTGAGGATGAGGGTCGGTGAGTTTGAACATGATTTAGTTGAAAGAGAAAGCATAAAACGTATTCACTATGAACAATCTATAATCATTTCACTTGTCCACAGAATAATATTCATAGAATCAAAACAAATATATCCACTTGACATGCTCAATATAGTGCGAAAGACTAAGTTGAAAGAGTCATCTGAGCAGGATGGGAATCAAACCCACATCTTACAATGACCAGTTGGCTGCTCTACCACTTAAGCTACCAGCTTCATCAACTCAGCTACATAATAGCTACATGTTGCATACTTCGAATGGGGTGAGTGTGGGTGTTGCTGTAGAGCAGAAAAAGATCCATACCTATCCACACCCACCCACACCCAACTCGGAGGATCCGCTCCACATATCTTTGAAAGCTCTTTCAAATAGTTTCAAAGATCTTTCATATACTTTCAAAGATGTGTGGAGTGGATCCTCCGAGTTTTCCGGTGGGAAACAGTTGGTTTCTTGACAGTTTTCGCTGGGTTCCTGCGTGTTCTTACTTTTTTCCCGTAGGTTTTCATCGGCAGGAAATTCGCGGAACACTGCGTTTCCCGGTACGATAAATTTCCCGGCCGGAATACTGCTTCCATGATCCGAGTATTTTTCCGATCAATTCCGGTGGGAAAGACACCGAAAACGGCGGGAAGAGGCCGGAAAATACACCGTTTCCAGCCGATTCCTGAAGACTCTGGAGGTCGGAATCATCGACCTGGGCACACGTTGAACGTCGTCGTCATTCATTTCTTCAGTTCCGCAGCCGAAGCAGGAGTAGCTGTAACAGATTCATTTGAAAAATTACTACTAGCCATGGTTTTCTTGATGGGGAGCAAGTGTTTTCTTTTCTTCGGCGACGGCAGTTCTTTTTAACGAAGGAATACTTGTGTTGCTTTTGAAAATTTCAAGGATGGAATAAAAATAAGAATAATCTGTAAAACAGAGGAAGAGAAATGCTTCTTTTCTTTAAAAAATAAAGGAGAACATTCTTTTTCTCTCGATCATAAAGCAGCGTTTCTTCTTCCAATTAGAATTTCGAAAAAAAGCAAAGAATAACAAGTAAAGAAGCATTAAGACATCATGTGTTCGGTGAAAAATAAAAGAAAATGCATAAAAAATATGACAGGTAAGAAATTCTTCGTCTATTCATAGTTAGTCAATGTTTGCTAATCGTAATATTTCTTTTAATGAGTTATTTTTTCATTTTTTTTGTTGTTCTGCTAGTTGTGACACAAAAGAAAGCAAAAACAAATGAAATGATTGGGAAAAAATTATTAATAATCCACACTGGGAGACGAAAATAAAGAACCATCGTATGGAGTAAAGAACTTCTTTTGTAAAGTAATTGAAGCTGTTTGCAAACGTCCGACGTATTTTTTACACTGAGAGAAAGAACAAATAGGGAACGCAGAAAAGGACGTGCATATCTATATTTTGGTGAACAAAGGTAAGCGAAGGCAGTATACACACTCTGTACTCTTTCTGACTTTGATGATACCTATTCGATGAGTTAGGAATAAAATTCAACAAAAATCCGCAGTGTTTATTTCGATTAAAGCTACCCATAAAATGAGACTTGTGCGAGTTCCGTGAGTTCTGAACTCCTGGAACCTTAAAAAGCACAATCATACGGCAAATCATAGAGATAAAATACAACGGAGAACTCTAACAAATTAAGAAATTCACGGAATCTAAGGAACTCATGAAACTGTTCCAGGGCTGCCAAATCTCCTGATTTAGCCAGGAGACTCCTGATTTTTAAATTTTTCTCCTGGTGAAAAAATCTCCTGAATCCAGGAGCTGATTTTTATGATTTTCTCCTGGTTTCTCCTGGTTTTTTAAAGGATTTTGTCACGTTTAGTTGTAGTGATATTTTGAATCAATAAGACAAAGAAAAAGAGAACTATCACACTATTTCATAGATGCAATAGACAATAAGAAAACACGTCGTTTCTGCTTGTTAGGCCTGATAACATGCGTTTATTTGTGAGCTTATCTTCTTGACGGTTAAAATGTACCTCATGGACAAAAACTAGTTTAGTTCGCTTTTTCTATATCAACCTAGAATGCTATTTGTGAATTGACCTTCAGCCACATGGAATTTTTGTGGGCTCCTAATAGAAACGATTTGAAGTGCAATCTTATTGGTGCATAATTAGGAACTAAATGAATAATCATCTCAGTTATACAAAGTTCTATAATTATCTTTTAAATAATTCAAACCTATTGAAACAAATTCAGTCTTTAGAAAAATATGGCCATGTTCATAGGTGGCGAAATGTTTTGGATCTAGGGTAGGCTCAACAATTTTTTACAAGATTCGCACCAGAAAATTAAAAATATGGAGTAAGCCAATTTTTTTGATGCCATCTTGATGAAACAAAGTTAGTATTTCTCATTTCGAGCTCGTATTTTGTAATGTATGACGCTGATAGAGATAAGAAAAGCATCTGCAACTTATGTGTCAAAAAACATGCATTTAAGAAAACATGTCGATGATTATCTTCATTGACTTCCAACTCTCACAAGAATTCTTTTCCATCTGCTGTGCTAAAAAATAAAATAATGTCCAAGCAGCAATGTTCACAAAAACGACATTACATTATGAATGTTTTTATTGTGTTGAAAAGATATTTTTTCTGCGGGAATATTTTTCTATACTCGTCGTTTTCTTGCTCCATTTCTTATGGCAATGGGAACTCCATTAAGTATTGGTGTTCCCGCATTTTTCTTGTATTTACCTACATATTTGGATACATATATGTAGCAGCGTTTTATTTTTACGTAACTAACCTACTGTAGCTCCAATCATAATTATATTTTTAATTTCAAGTCGTGTTACGGTTATCTTAAAATCTAAAAATAAAACAGGAATATGAATTCCTGAAGTCTTACGATTAGAAGTGTAAATCGCTGAGCAGAGTCGCCGCTGTCGGTGGGACAAAAAAACTAACAGTTTTGAAGATTTTTCGACGCCCGAGATCACTCTTCAACGATGTTTCTGTCTAGGTTTTTTATCAGTGTGTTCTCTACCATTGTTTTCTCTTTTTTCATCCGATAATTTCTCGGAAATAAGAAAACTTTAAAGAAATCGTCCAACAAATTCACTCGCCTTCGCCGACAGACTAAAAAAGTTGAGTATTTTCAGTCACTACCGAAATAAAAAAAAATAAAATCATACTTACACACCACCGATCTATGAACTGGTTTACGATTCTGCTTACGGAAGTGAAAATAAATTTTTTTCTGGGAATAAGAGTGTAAGAACAAGAATAACCATTTTTTCCAAGAGAGACAGTGTAACAGCAAGAATAATCATTTTTTTCCAAGAAAGACAGTGTAAGAACAAGAATAACAATTTTTTTCCGAGAAAGAGAGTGTAAGAACAAGATAAAAAGTTTTTCCCGAGAAAGAGAATATACGGGCGAGAACAACAAATTTTTTCTGAGAATAGGAAGAATAATCGAAAAAAGTTGCTCTCATAACACTAACGATCGGGTAATGTAAACTTAGTCGTTAAAAATGATGAAAGTCTTTGGCAGCTACTAGCTGATATGATTCAGGTTTTTTATGCAGTGCTTCGTCACTTTTAACGAAAGAACCTCACTTTAAATCATGGCTGACCCAAGATTTGACATTTATCCACACAAAACTAAAAGCTTTCTCAAAAACAGTTTCTAGGTCTGTTTCAATAAATGTTACTATTTGTTGTCGATAGCGACAAAAAATCTTGACGTCTGTTCAAATTTTTTATGTACTGCACAAACCTATCAATTTAACGTAGTAGAAAACAATTATTTGAGCATACCATAGTCTATGGA